GGGACTTGGTGGATGCTCCCTGGTGGTCTGTGACTCGGGGATCCAGGAGTCCACCTGAGAGTATTGGTAGTTGTCTGACACAACCCACTGCACTGCAGCAGGACACTAGACCTTGCACTGCCCATAAGCAGGATGAGCTTTACGGTGGCTGTTAGTGGTTTCCCAGATGAGGCAGTGAAACCCTCTGGAAATCTCAGAGGGGGCATAAAGAATTAACACCGAACGGTCACTGAGCTGCAGGCCCTGTTCAAAGCACTTCATTACATTATCTTGTAACTGCCTTGTGAGTTACAGGTGAACCTCTATTTTGCAGAAAGGGAAACTGAGGCACAGGGTTCACTGCCTTGTCTGCATTTAGACATGCCTAGTAAATGCAGCTTAGTGCGTGAGCTACACGGACCCGTATGATTCTGTCTACTACTCCCTGGGCTGCTGAGTCAGAGCACTTGAAGCCCACAGGACACTTTCAGCAGGCGATCAAGAAACCAGAATGCAAAGCGGGAAGGACCACAAAGTTGTGCTTTTGTAGTACAGGGAAGGGACTTTACTCAGAGAGGAGATGGGAGGCGGGCAGTCAGCCTCCTGGTTGTCCTGTAGAGAAGGGACCCAGCCTTTTCTGCAGGGCCTGGATCACAGGACTAGTAGCACAGGTGGAAGCTGTAGGGAGGCCGGTATTGTTATTTCACGAGGAATCTCTCCAAGTGGTAAACCCATCTGAGAACAGAATGGGGTAGTGAGTTTCCCGCCTCTGAAAGTGTTCAAGCAGGGACAGACAGGGCACTTGGGATGCTGCTGAGGAAATTTCTGCACTAAGTGGGGTTTGCATTGGATGACTTAGGGGAATCCATTCCAACTCAGAGAGTTTGTCCAAGAGCTGGGGAGTTGAATCAGGGTCCTGAGCGGGGGCCTTATGTTGTTGGATTCTCCTGTGCTCTGAAAATGCCCACCCCCACCCGCAACGCCCCTTGGATTCACAGGTAAAATTTCACCTTCTACATGTGGCCAAATTTCTCTCCTTAGCCCACAGCTTTTTGAATAGAATTACACTTGGCCTCTACCCAGGTCTCTTTCCTGTCTTGAGCACAGGCCACCCAGGAAACAGTCCTCTTCCTCCAGCTCAAGCCCAGGCCTGCCAGCTCTCTGGAACAGCAAGTTCTTCTGAGCCCAGCCTTCCCTGGTACTCCCCCATCACCACCCAGTACCAACTCCTTTCCCCACTCAGACATAAGCAGCGGCTCCTATTTCGGCTCAGCTGGCTAGACACTGCTGAAGCTCTTGGGTTGAGGTAGATACCACTAAGGGGTGACGGGGGAAGCCACAATGCCGGGGGTCCAGCCTCCCACCCAGAAATGTGGCCACTGACCCAGAGCTGTGAGTTCTTTGGAAAGAGGATGTGGCCCAATTAGAATGGCAGAGAGGTGACTAGCAGACCAGCAGGGGTCTGCAGTGGCCCTGGGAGGCAGGGATCCCTGGTCAGCCAGTTGTCCCTCCCTTCCTCCTTTCCTAGGTGTCAGGGAATTGTGGCCGCTGGGAATCCCTGAGCAAAAATGCTTACACTCCAGCACTTACAGCAACGTGGGCTCCATGTCTCTTGGTATCAGGAAGGGTGGACCGCTGTGCTCTGCCAGGCAGCCCCCTGTCTGGCCTCTCTGGTGGAGACCGCAGCGGAGTCTTGGTAACATTCTCATCTTCTCTAAACCCTTGGTGCAGAAGGCATCTGCTTAGCTGGAAAAGATTCTAGGCTTTACTTTCCGTTAAAAACAATTCCTGCCTCTTCTCGATCAGCAGGGGGTACCCTGGTGAGTCTTCTCACTCATAAGACACCAGCTGGTGGCAAATGGGGGGGGTTGTCCCCTGATTGGCGGGATACTGAGCTGGGTCACGATCTCTCTACCTGGTGATGGCTGCACACTGGGAATGGGCATGACGTGACATTCTTCCCTGTCAACCGGGACATTCTTAGGAAGAAGGTAAGACACCCAGTGCTCTGGGCTCCTGCGGATTAAGAGAAGGCCGTGTACGTTGCAGACCATCTCTTCTTCATCCACATCTGGCCTACCACCGAGGCTCCCGGTGTAAAGCATGACTGCTGCTCCCCAGGGAGTGTGAGCGGCCGTTCTCCCTACCTGCTTGGGCTTTCGATGAAATGTTAAAGATCTGTATTCCACAAGGTCCTTGCATCTAAAATACCTAGTTTATTTCACCTTGACTGATATCCTGAGAACACAATCTTCAACCCCTCTGCTTTTGCCATGGTCCCTTCAGCCTAGGTCCTCAGAGGGTCAGAAAACTTTCAAGGTGCAAGGGGTTTGGGGAGCCATAACTGCACATTATGAGTCAGCTGGAAGCTTATTCAAGTGGACATGCTGGTTTTGTAGGTCTTGAGTGGGAGCTAAGGGCTGCATGTGTAGCAAGCTTATGGGGCATGGATGTTGTGGTCATTTTACAGATGTGAAAGCTGAGGCCAGAAAGCTTCATGATCCACCTACAGTCTACAGAGTCCACAGAAGCAGAACTCTATTTTCTCACCTGCAGTCCATCACCTGCTTCCTAAAGGACCTGCTTCCTTTAAAGCAGCCCCTTCCTGCACAAGCCCTGAGTACTTGCACAACCCTAGCATCCCACCCTAATCCCATTTCACTGTCCAGGATGAAAGACTTCTTCTTTCAGGGACCCTGACTTAACAGCCTGCATTTTTAATCACCTCCAAAGGGGTTTTCTCTTTTAAAAAATTTACCCTGGCTTATGGATGCCTATCCTTCTCTGCTAGAGATGTTAAAAATCATCTCTCTTTTTAAAAAATGGGCTGAGCATCTTTTAAACAACCATTTGTGCTCCAGGCTGGATAACTGGCGTTGGGCTAAACCCACTTCCCATTCTTTGCTTACTGGACCTCCCCCGCCCCTCAGTGGTCTGTGACAGGTTCCATGTTCCTCTGCTGCCACCTGCCACCTCCCAAGAGAGGCCAAGCTGGAGAGCTGGACTACACCTCAGTTTCCCTGCCTCTGGAACTGCTGTTCAAAAGCCAATCACAGAACAGCGCTTGAAGTGGCAGGGAGATTCCCAGGGGACAAGGACACCAGGGACTGGCTTGAGGCCAGCAGGAACTGGTTGGAGAGTCCAAGGCTGTCTCCACTCTGTCCCCTCCTGCTGGCAGGAGGGCAAAATGCCATTCTGGGGACACAGCCTTAATGGCGACAGGGGGTAAAAGTCTCATTGAGGCCAAGGGAAGGCGGAATGTGACGGGAAGTCGGGAAAACTCCCTTTTATAGGCATGTTCTTGTCATTCTTTTTTTCCAAGTTTACTCCCAGCGACAGTGCCCGCTTGAAGACATCAGTCCTGTCTGTGGTTGAGCCTAGGGTGGTGGGCTGGTTCACCCTTCCCCCATCTTGCCCGCAAGTTGCATGACCTGCATCAGAATCCACAGGGGGGCGGGGGAGAATCCTTTCAGATCCTGGATGCGGCTGAATTCAATGTATTTTGCTTCCTCGCCGGCCCTCATACGAGCCCGGGGAGGAGAGCCCTGCTTTCTTCTGCGCGTGAATGCTGTAGTGTGTCTGCCTGCTCTGGCTCCCCTAACCCTTTCTTCTCCTCTCCCACAGCGAACGCCCAGCTTTGCTCGGCAAACAGCTCACACTTGGTATCTTTTACGTCTTATTTCACGTTTTATTATTTAAAAAATAATCTCTATCAAGGCAAAAAGCCGGGAGGCCCCCTCTTCCCAGACTGGATCTGAGCTCGCGTGGAAGGCTGCACCTGCTTTGCGCTCCTACCAGGAAGGGGTGCTTGTGTGGGTGGGAAGAAGGAAGGCTGTGCGCCCCGGAATCCGGAGCGAGCAGCCCGCCCGCCCCCTCACCCGGCAGTCGGCTCAGTGCACCCTAGAGCCGAGCCCGAAAGCCGGCCTCTGACGGTGCCGGCGTGGCGCTTGCCAAAAAATGCCCCTTGCATCTCAATTTCCTGGCCGCTCCTCTGGCATGCACCGCTCGCCCACAGCCCCCTCGGCTCTCCAGCGCAGCCTCTTCGGCGCTCTCCCTGCCTTTTCCTTTCCCCGCGTGCCCAAGGCCGAGCACAAAACCCACTGCCCAGAAGGCGCAGTGGGCACGGAGGGCCGGCGGCGCGCCGTGCCCCCGCAGTCCCCTCCCGGCAGAGTCCAGCTCCCCGGCTCTCTTCGGTCGCCCAAACGCGTGTCATTCGGATTAGGTCCGCGCGTCCGCGGCCCGCGGCCCCGGCTCCGCACGCCTCTTTGGGGTTCCCGTGCGCTCCCGCCGCCCCCGGCGCCGTCCGAGCCTGCGCCCCCCAGCCCGGGATCCGGAGCGCTCCTCGGTCACCTCGGCCGCGTTCATTTCACTTCCTCCCGCGGTCGAGATTGCAGCAAAACCGGGCAGCGCGAGGGCCAAAAAAAGTGGAAAGGAGAGCGCCTTTCGGGTCGCACAGCCAGCTTGGCCAACTGTCCCTCCCCGGCGCGGACCCTCGCCATCTCCACCGCAACTTTTTCCCTTCTGCCTCGTTTTCCCCTGGGCTGCGGCGCGCGGGGCGCGGGGCCGCGAGGCGTGGAGCAGGCGGGCGGCTGCGGG